TTTCTTTTATTCATCAGAGATACCCTATGATACATGTAAAGTAGAGGATGATAAAATTCATGTCATGACTTGCGTACAACCTTCACCCCGCTGTCTGGTATTCCTCTCCTAATATCGCCATACTCATCGTCGTCCTCGTAACCTTCGTTAGGTTTGGTCGCAGCACTGGCCGCTTCGTCTCGTACTTTGGCTTCCGCCTCCAGCTCTCGCCGTTCCTTTTCATCATATTCGTCTTTGGCGTCTAGCCAGCGTTCTTGTATATCCCGGACATCCATAGTCCCCAGTCCGTCCCGAACAGCAACCTGCCAAATAGTATCATTTGCGCCCTCAGCAGGCCCGAACACATATCCGCTTGCCCGATCAATCACTCGCAGAAGATTCATCATGCTCTTCTTGTCTTCCACTGCTAGTGTTTCGAACGCGACGAGTCCGAAGTCTTCAACCAGATCTATGATGGCTTGGTTGAGGGCCCCAAACTTACCATGTGAGAGTCGTGATGATTCTGCCTCTAGATGTGGCAGCAGATATGAGAGGTCTTGTACCTCAGTGTAGTAGTCGAGATTGAAAGGGAGCGGGGCGTAGTTTGAGAGGTTATCGATCTTGGTAAGGACGTTGAGATGGGGAAGGTCCATTTGGAGCATGGCGCGGAGAGAGAGGATGAGGGCGGATATGTACATAGATGGTAGTGTGAGGTTGTAGGAGTCAATTAGGTGTATTACGATTAACTGTAGAGGTGCTGTTAGCTGTATGGATCTCGACTTGAACAAGAAATTATGGTAGAGTAGACCTACTCTATATCCCAACTTTTGGAGTCTGAAGAAAATATTGCGTAATGACGAGTGATGCGTGAAAATTTCGACCTGACCGGGACAGTCGAATAGTACATAGTCGTCTACCAACCAAGTTAGTATGTCATATTAGGCTTGCAGTACCACCTCTAACAAAAAAGTCGCCATACCTCCAAGTTCCTTCAGCCCCTCCTCCAGCCAGTCAAAGTTCTCTTCCAGCTCTTCAAGGGCATACAAGATCCCACCATTTGGACCCAGATGATCTTCACTCATTACCTCCTCAAGCGTGACAAGATCGCGAACATCCAGCGCGCACGGATAAGATGTTTTATCATTTGCTGGGTCCAGGTTGACGATCGAGCATTTGCGGCCGATTGCTCCGAGGAACTGATGCATGCCATTGCAATAGGTTGACTTCCCCGCGCCGGGGGGACCTATCACAAGCTGCGCAAACGGCATGATAGTCTGTCTGTGAGAAAAATGTAAGAAAACTGTAAAAACTATGCATGTAAGTTGAGATATGAGACTTTATGAGCTACACTCATTGATAATGGCGGGGAGAATATTCCAGGGCGGTATTATACGGCAGAAAATGATCTGAAGGACCAAAGCTTCGATGACGCCAGCCGATCAACAACTATCTGCTGCTGCTGGACCAATTGACTTCTCTTAGTAACTTCGCGCAATCATGGCGTCGAGTAAGTAGATTTCTTGAAATCATACTTGGCTCTTATACTAATGGGCTTCTAGATCAGTTTATCGTCGCATCCCCACCAACGGATGCCATTTCCGCCTTGAAGTTCTCTCCCGATCCCGATTCTACACGAATCGTTGTATCCTCCTGGGATAAGAATGTGTATCTTTACGAGCTTCGCGATGAAAACGGGAATGTAGGAGAAGGGAAGCTATTGCAGAAGTTCGAGCATCGCGCTCCGGTACTGGATGTCTGTTTCGGCGCAACCGAGGACGAGATTTACACGGCTGGCTTAGACTGGGACGTTAGAAAGTAAGCTCAGCTGCCTCCCACCCTCCTATTCATAGTCTTCGAGTGCCTGAAGCTTGTTAGACGATGCTAACAACATACAGAATTGACGTGGCAACATCAACTCAGACCATCCTTAGCAGCCATGAGGCCGGCGTCCGAAGCGTCGTCTACAGCAAGGAACACCAGCTGGTGATATCAGCATCCTGGGACTCAACACTACACGTACATCGCGCAGATGCCCCAGACTCCCTACACTCGATTATTCCTCTTTCCTCCAAGCCATTCTCCCTATCTCTTACGGCGACAAAGCTAGTCGTCGCAATGGCCTCGCGCGCCTTACATATCTACGATCTGAAGGCCCTATCTCTCCTCACGGCTCAGTTGGACGGTACCATTCCGAATAAGGTTGAGGTCGAGCCATGGCAGCGGAGGGAGAGCAGTCTGAAGTTCATGACCCGCTGCGTGGCATGCATGCCTGACGATGCGGGCTACGCTTCTTCGAGCATCGAGGGACGAGTCGCTGTTGAATGGTTCGATCCTTCGGCCGAATCGCAGGCGCGCAAATACGCCTTCAAATGCCACCGGCAGACGGCTGATGATGTCGATGTGGTATACCCTGTGAATACATTGGCGTTCCACCCCGTTCATGGTACCTTTGCGTCTGGTGGTGGTGATGGTGTGGTTGCTCTTTGGGATGGTATTGCGAAGAGGAGAATTAGACAGTACCAGAAGTACCCGTCGAGTGTTGCTGCTGTGGACTTCAGTGGCAATGGGAAATATCTGGCCATTGCCATCAGCCCTGGATTTGAAGATGGGAAAGACGATGTTGCTGAGGGGACGGTCAAGATTCATGTGCGCGAACTTGGCGAGACGGAGGCCAAGGGCAAAGGCGCGAAATAGAACTAAGTAGCTTTCTTACGAAAATCTAATTCTTACCACTAAAAATGCAAACTCGACCTTCATCGTGGTAGGTAGTGTGAAGAATTCAATTTCACGCTAGCATCAAATGGTATCATTTATAGTTCCACTTTTATGTATACATGTCTAGGTAAGTTTCGTGCAACCTGTAATTAAGCAGCCTTCCTGACGGACACAGAGCCGTCGGGCATACCGAAGTACGCCGCGACAGGCTTCTGGCCACCGGTACCTCCAAGAGCTTGGGCCTGAGGACCCGTTGGACCGGAGAAGATGCCGACATCCAAGACGCCTGGTATCTGCTTGATGGCCTTGGAGAGTGCTTCAACCTCCCAGACTCCATCCTTCCCGTTGCCATCTTGACCAGCCACAACATCTGCCTTAGTAAGCAGAGGCTTGAAGGGAGCATCGATGAGGTGGAAGGCCTGATCGGTCTTCAGGGGGGTTGGCTTGGGTGCACCATCCGGCGCAGTAGGGTTCAGCCGGATAGCAGGCAAAATGCTACCGAGCTCTTTGAGGGCCCTTAGTACTCGGTTGGCCGCAATGGGGGCCACCTCAATGGGGATGTATTTCCAATTCGAAAGAAGGCGGGATTGGAGTTTGCGCGAGTCTGTTTGCGATCAGCTTGACAATTCTCTCTTGAAATTTGCCTTTGGTGTGCGGTTCACTAACCCGCAACACAGATGAATTCCTTCGCCTGGAGGGCAACAATCTTCTCCTGGAACAAACAGGCACCACCGCCCTTGATTAAATTGAGGTCGTCGTCTACTTCGTCCGCACCGTCGAAGGCGATATCCAGCACGGTTCCTTCGGGAATAGAGTCGAAGTCAACGGCCGTCAGGCCATTCGAGAGGATGAGCTGTTTTGAAAGGTAACCTGTGGGCACATATTTGGTTTGAGAGGTGTCGATACCCAGCTCCTTGATGGCTTCGACAACATAGACGATGGTGGAACCACTGCCAATGCCGACGTACTTGGCATCTTTGGGGTAGTGGTTCTTCACGGCAGCCTGGCCGGCTGCGCGCTTTGCGGCTTCAACAAGGTCGGTCATTGTGGACTGGAGACGAAGGGTGCCAGGAAAGGCAGGGGGGGAAGAAGAGTGGAGTGGATGATATCGCAGACGAAAGTAAGCAGGAAATGAGGAGTGGAAAGAGGATCGGAATCTGTATAATATTAGTAGGCGGGGTATGGCGGAGGTTAAATTGCTCTAGTGGCAGGGTATAACTGGGGGAGAGAGCCGCAGATGCCCTGAAGGTGGGGATGCGATCCAAAGGAACCTTCCGGCCGTTGTTCGTAAAGTGAGAGAGCCCACTTACACATTCGATTGATAGCAACGTTGGATTGCTAGTAACATGGCAGAGCGTTCGAGACTCAATTGATAGTACAAGCCAGTCCCAAAGCGCTCCTAGTGGAAATGTCTACACAAATCGCAGTGTTTGTGTTGACTGAAAGTGACTTTTGTCTGGTGGTGGGGTTATCGTGCCTGAACGGCATCAGGCCACGGCGCACGGGGCTTATCTATCGAAAGTCTACTCTAGACTAACCGGAACTACTTCTTCGGAGTACACTAACAGTAGCGTCTCCCTCCCATGCGCCGCTGAAGGGGTGGATATATTTTCACTCATCTGACGAATACTACGGCGCCCAAGACCTTCACAGTGTCCAAAGCTGACTTGCAATTCAATGCTAGCAGGATCAGACCCTACATATGTTCCGAGTGACCTATGTAGTCAATACAGTAGATACATTATGCAGTGTTGATAGATATGCACCTTTCCCTCAACCAGGTGGTCCAATCAAGTAGAGAAGCCCAAAAACTATATGCAAGGTCAACTGAGATATCGGGTTAAAAAAAAGGTGAAAAGAATAAGATGTATAAACAATGTGTAACTATATACGTCTTTGACCTGGGATTTTGTAGGTCTACAAAAGACGTATTTACTCAAATCGATTAACTATTAAGTTTGAACAGGGTCCCCACTCTGCCTCTAAACTATTGTTTCCCGTTGCCTAGATAGTACAATATATGATTCCAAGGCGGACTAAGAATCAAGTTTGTTGAATAACTTTGTCCTTTCAAAAGTATCCATCACTAGCAAATCCCAGATCGACTCCATGGCCTAGCAGGTAACTATGCCCTTGTTATCCGCTTGTTCTTTGCCGGCCACCCGGCATTGTCTTTAGAATAACTGTGACCGGCCCCTATACTAGGGTCCCGGGTTCGTCTAGAAGTGTTGGGCGTGTTGGTGGCAGCGTACTTACTCTAGAAATGCTTTATCCTTCAAAATATTATTAAGTAAATATTATCTACTGGCAAGGTGGCCGAGCGGTCTAAGGCGCACGGTTCAGGTTATCTGATTATAATCTCCGTGTCATTAATTTGGCGTGGGTTCGAATCCCACCCTTGTCAATTTCACAATCCTTTTTTTTTCATGGCACTTGCGCGTACACATCTCTCTGTCTGTGTCAATGAACATCTATCTATCTGCACCCGGGTCTTTCTATCTATGTATACAGTGAAAGAAAAATATATTAACATCCCTCCCTATATTTTCCCTAGTCTGGTCATCTACTGTCAGGGTGTGGGCTCAGGCAGGCAGGCTAACAGAGTTGATACGCACGATTACTACTGGCCAGGCTGTATACATGCAGATAGACAAGACGTAGCTTGAGAAGCTACAACAGGATCGAGGTCAAACGAATAGCTAAACAGGCTAGGACCACATGACAGGGCGGTCAGGTCAGGCTGGCACCGTGACATCTACCATGAAAGCAGTATTCTGCCAGAGAATAGAATCACTAAATAAACTTATATATACCACACGCAGTAGATAGTTCATGCTGGTCAGGTTGGGCGGAAGATAGGCGTGTGAATACTTTTTTTCACCACACTGTATGTATGTGTACAGAGTATATCATACACATAGTATATTTTAAACAAGAAAGACCCCTACCAAACAATGGTACCTGTTGCCTGCACAGGGTAAGTACAGAGTAGTATATGTTATGAACTATATTTGAAATGATATCGAAAAGACTTATTTAGATGCACTATGTACTGTAAGGATTGCACTATTAGGCTAAAACCATACCTGGAGACACGAGAGGCAAGAAAGAAAGATGGTATGATCACTCTCGCTAGTAGCTCCCTCGTGCATCTCAGAAAATGTAAAGTGCATAGTGTGGTTAGTTAGGTTAGAAGTAGGCCTGCCAAGGTAAGGATGTAGATGCCAATCGGCACGAAAACAAATACCAAGTAGTTCAATTATTACCGGCCGGGACGGCGATACTAATCCTTGAGGGTCAGAAGGATGGATTTTCTTTGAAAGAGGACCTTTTTTTATTCTCCTATGGTTATACTATAGATAATAACATGACTATATAGCAGCAGGATAGTCTAATCCACCACCCTCCAGTAAGGTTGCCGAGCGGAGTTCAGCTGCCTGACTCTTTATGTCCTTATACTGTGCTCGTTACTACAGTACCTATACAGAACTACATCTTCCTTGATAGCTTTCTAGCCAGTCTTATTGGGCCCGGGGCTCATGGACTGTGTGGTCCTAGTACAGCCATGATCTATAGTTATCACCTCCACTGGCACCAATACATGCAGTGTCAGTAATTTTAGGACTATTTAGAGAGTAAGAGAATGTATAGGCCTGTTCAATGCGTACAGACAGCAAAGCATAGTGCTATTGGTCCGCCCGAGACTCTGGGCCCTACGTAGGAAACACTGCAAAAATTGTTGGTCTTGGAAATCAGCTTCTGGAAATTTAGGAGCGGACATTGTAGTATAAATAGGACTGCTGAGGTAGTTTAGAACACTCATAGGGAAACGCACGTAGCTGGTACTTGCGAGTAACTTATTTGCCGACGTGAAAACGACGCCCTGTCACGGTGCGCCTGCAGGCCACCTACTAGTACCTGCCTGACCTGAACTTGCCTCACTGAAGCTTATATATGTGAGTGCAGTACTAAGCCGAAACTAGTCTTTTGCTGATGGCGCAGCGGCTAATGCTTCTGAATGCACCCAGGGGTCGCACCGTGCCACGTCCATTTGATCTGCTAAATATATTTATTTTGTTGAAAATTGGCTTGTTTGCTGTAGACCAAAATGAATATCATTCGACTACTAACTACCAAAAAGTGTTATGATTCTAGACAATCTATCTAGTAGCTCATCTAGTTCAACACTTTCCTAGTTTCCTTTCTTGCTACTTAGCGGCTTTTCTAGTTAGTGTATGTAAAAGGCCTAGTTAACATATGGGTTCAACGAGCCCAACCTCTCCAGCATAGCGGCCATATAAAGGCACGCTAGAAGGGTATAAATACTACTAGTACTACTACCACTCCTGCTACTATTACTGCTAGTTCTTTCCATTAACCTCCAGCACTAATCCATGGGCTATGGCGGATTCAATTGCTTCAATCGCTTTCGTGAGCAGGTAGTAAGTGATTTACTTAGCAGTCACTATGCAGCTAACACTCAGTTATTTATCTAGTCCTATTTCTGACCAGCTAACCAATCTTCTACAAAAACCGAGTAATGGTTCCAAGTTCAGTAATGATGTAGTCAATAAATCCTGTTGCATTCGCTCATTTGAATAGGTATGTGTAGATCCAACAACTATACCTGAGTTAGTGTAAAGTTGTTGGATCTACACATACTTATTCAAATGAGCGAATGCCACAGGATTTATTGACTACATCATTACTGAACTTGGAACCATTAGAACGGCATCAAGCAAGTTGGGGGTGTATGTATGTATATCTTCGAATATGGAGACATCCAAAAGATAGTACGTTTAGCCACAAATAGTATCTTATATCTACTAACTGTTGAAAAATTGCAAGCAAGATCTTCTAACTCACCGCGCCTCACAAATCAACCAAAACTGCATTTTGATCCGACCAATTCTGCAGCTGCCTGTCTGATACATCTAATAACTAGGAGCAGCAAAAATCCTTGACAAAAGACACTGACTGACTGGCTGTGTTTTTAGTCCCACCGCCAATATTATCGTCAGTCTAGTGAGATGATTAATTGGACAAAAATATTTGACAAGGGTGGGATTCGAACCCACGCCAAATTAATGACACGGAGATTATAATCGGATAACCTGAACCGTGCGCCTTAGACCACTCGGCCACCTTGCCTCTATTGTTGTATGACTAAGCTTATTTTTATCTCATAGCATCTCGTCTCGAAAAACACCATTTTAGTAGGTTATCTATCTCCTTTCACTTATCCTGCTATAAGGCATAGAATAATACCAAGAGCAGAGCGGACCCCCATTAGGGAGCCCCGTGCGTGATCTTCTATTCCAACCTTGAGCCTTGGATGATTGGGGTGGAAGAACAGTCTAGCTTAGGGCTGACATCTGCGCGCTTTGGGACGTTTTACGTCATCCTTCTGTTCGCAACTAGATTCGTTTCTAGTCACTTTTATCATTCATGCAGTCACACAGTGCAGTATCACACATATTGAATGAAATATATGAAAGCTTCCACAGAAATTGTGTACAGAATCTAGTAAAATAGTAAACTGGTGGTATGGTTGTGAATATAATAGGCGGTGGAGGTGGCTGTTATTGGAGGGGCTGTGTCGTCATAGTACCTTTTGAAGCCTTAGCCTGGGTATCGTGCACGGGCCTATATATGTCTGCAACAGTCACGTGCGTCTGTAGCGTTTATTATTACAGTCAGTTTCATGGATTGTCAACAACTATTGCACGCTTGGCGATACTTAGATGCTTGGTACTCCGCTACCTGTCCAGGACTGGCTGTGACCTTTTGTCGTATCTGTGATTTGATTCCTTCCCTACCCGTCTTTTCTTGATCTTTCCCTTTCACTCGGCCGCCCCTCATGACTGGTGTTTTCCCTAGCGTCCTGACTGCGCCATCTTCCAAAGAAAGGAAATATGATCGTCAATTGCGCCTATGGGCTGCAAGTGGACAGCAAGCCCTAGAGGAGTCTCGCATTCTCCTAGTCAACTCCGATGGTCCGTGGGGCAAGCAGAGCACTGGCGCATCAGGCGTTGTGGGTGTTGAGACGCTGAAGAACCTCGTCCTGCCTGGAGTGGGAGGGTTCACTATCGTGGATCCCGCAATTGTCACCGAAGCGGATCTCGGAGTTAACTTTCTTCTTGAAGAACTGAGTCTGGGTAAATCTAGGGCCGCAGAGACCTGCCGTTTGCTAAAAGAATTGAACCCTGAGGTAGAAGGGAACTTCCAAACAAAGGTATAAAATATGTAGCGACCTTTAACCTTGCGAGGAAAACGATATGCTGACAAACTATTATAGTCGATTGTAGAGCTTTTGCAACAGGATTCAGGCTTTCTCTCACAGCACAGGCTGGTGTTGGTATCTGGTCCTATGAAGCGATCCTCTTTGGATGCTCTTTGCAAAGCTGCCAGAGAGCTGAATATTCCAGTACTATATATGCGCTCTGTTGGATTCTACTCTGTTTTCTCCCTTCAACTGCCGCCCTCGTTCCCCATAGTGGAGACACATCCGGACCCGGAGGCGACACAGGACCTTCGTCTGCTCAACCCCTGGCCAGAGTTAGCGGAAGCAGGAGCTCGTATTAGCAACCTAGACAGCCTGGACGATCATCAACATGGCCATGTTCCGTACTTATTATTACTTCTTCACTATCTCGAAAAGTGGAAGGAGTCACATGGGGGCAAAGTTCCGTCTAGCTACAAGGAGAAATCTGAGTTCAGAGACCTCGTGCGCTCTAGTGCAAGAACAAGTAACCCCGAAGCTGGGGAGGAGAACTATGATGAGGCTGTTGCGGCAGTGTTGAAATCGCTGAACCCCTTTGGCTTACGCAGTTCAACTCGTGAAATATTTGCGATGGAAGAATGCAGGAACCCCCGACAGGATTCGGCTGATTTCTGGATCATCGCCTCCGCTATTCGTGAATTCTTCCAGCAGCATAATGTGCTGCCTCTTCCCGGCTCACTACCCGATATGAAGGCCCAGTCTGCAGATTACGTCTCTCTTCAGAACATCTACAAATCAAAGGCAAGAAAGGATGTAGAGGAAGTTTCGAAAATTGTTAGACGGGTCGAATCCCAGCTAGGACCACGGCCAGGTGAAATCCCAGAGAAGGATATAGAAGTTTTCTGCAAGAATGCCGCTCACATCAAGGTTATCCATGGTCGCAATATCCCCCAGATTAACGGGGAAGCACACACCATCAAGACCGTTCGAAACAATATAAGCATCGCCGATTCTCTTATCCCGATTTTCATTGCCTTCCAAATTCTGGATAATGTTGTAGCCGATATTCAAGAAGGGAGGCTCGGTGGCGAATCACTTGATGACGAAGCGGCGTGGAATGCTCAGACTGATCGTGTTATATCTGTACTCACGCATGATGACCCATCTGCAGTGGATAAAGA